CTCCTCCCTCTGATCATTAGCTTTCCTTGTTAATCGTGCTGTGGTAGTGTTTCGAGGCAACTTGTCTGGCCGTCTGAAAAGTGACGCACAATGGCTTGTCCTTTCAGGCACTGACGAAAGGCCATCTGGTAGGAGCAGGGCTTTCCAGCTGTATTATAATTTTTTTGAATTAAACATTTTTAACCATGTAGAGAATGAAGGGCAGAGACCCTGCCTAGGCGGCCTGAAGTGAGCCCTCTGTTTATGCTTGCAGAAAGAAGAAAGACAGAGGGAAAAAAAGAGGGCAGGGGTTGGGAGGAAGAGAAGAAATCAAAGAGAAAAGGAAGAAAGGAAGGAAAAAAGAAAGATCAGTGTTCATAATTAAGAAGCTATATTATACATTCAAATCACTATTTGCAAGTAAAAAAAGAACTTTGCTTTTTTGTTTCATACCCCAGGCCTGAACCCTGAAGACCAAATATTCTAAGTGATTTAAAAAAAATTCCCAAGGAGGGTGCATTTAAGTGGACATGGAGATTTCTTCCTTTCCAAGAACAAGAATTTTACAGAAAAAAAGGGTGCTCAAGAGTAATAGAAGAAGTAAGCAAATATTTTGTAATAGACTATCTTACCCTTGGTACTTTGAATTTATCGTGTAGAAGTTAGAGTCCATTAAAATGAGATATATGAGTACCTTCCATGTGCAAGGTGTTTGCTGGGCACTGAAAATAGATAAGCTGGATCTAATTTCAGCTCCTGTTATTTCAGACATTACAGTTTGTTTTCCTGTGGAACATTAAGGCAATATAATAAATTACAGCCTTCCTGCTGAATTTTACTTGCTTCTATTTTTCTGTCATGAAAAAAAATCACTCAAGTGCTTTCTTATCTTACCATTGCAAGAACTTGCAAGTATTTAGGAAACACAGTTCTTTCGCTTAAGAAAATTTTAATTCATTGGGGAAACAGATGAAACATGACATATACATTTATTTTATATGCTATTTGGACCCCAGTCATTTGGAATTGTTGACATTTGGACAAAGGCTGGGCTGAAGTTCAACTTTATTTCATCTTTGGTCAAAGAGCTTACTAAATAAAAGTAAATAATACTTCAGAGAAAGATTTACATTTTTCAAGAAAACGTTTTTAAACTGTGAGTCACATTTTGCAAGCAAATTATTTAGGTTAAGTACATGCTGTTTTAACTATAAAAGCAGATCATGATGGATCTCAACTTAAGAGCACTTAGTGTGCTGTCAATTCTTTTTTTCCTAAAAAATGAATGTTTTTCTTTAAAAAATATTTTTAACATATAATTCAGATACACAGTCTTCTTGGTGCATTTAATTTTTGAGGTCTGATTGTGGACACAAATGACAAGAATATATAAATGTGTATACAATCTACTCTAGCTACTTATGGGATTGCAGGGTGACAGCAGTTAGTGGAAGAGAGATGATTACAAGACACTGTGCAAGTTCTGAGCAGAAATATGAACAGTCTTTGCTTTATAAATGTTGCACTTTGGAAGAATGCTCATCCTTTAAGTCTGCTGCTGTGCCAAGGCCAGCATACACAGAACTTTCTTCTTTATGAGACACTATTTCTTGGAGGTAAATTTATATTGTCCTATGTGTGTTTTAAATGTGAACTTGGAGGTTGTAGCTCCACAGTCTTCTTACATACCCAGATAAATGATTAATTTTGCAAATTACAAATGTGTTTACTTTGGCTTTTTGAAACTATAGTTCTGAGACCAACTGTGCCCTTCCTAATTTGGAAATATTTTCTTTCTGGTTTTTATTTTGACACGTACCCAGCTATCTACGTTTGTTGCTATTTCTAAAAGCATCCCAAGGGAGCTGCTTTCAGGGTTGTCATAGTGCAGACAAACACACAAGAAAACCAAGAACTCGGTGCTTTCATAAAGCATTTTTTTATTTGAAAACATTATACAGGCATTACATTGCCACAGCCAGTCCATAGGGAAGCATGCAAATATCAAAAATGGACAGTTTGTTCAACTTATCAGTGTAAATTTCTTTTTTGGTTCATATTTTCCATTTGCAGTGTCAGGGTTAGTGTGCTTCGTTATGTGGCTTAACAATAGAATCCTACCCATGGGGTAAAAGCTGTACTGGTAGCTAGCTGGGGACTACTAAATGGTTATAAATCAAAAACAAACCCAAAACAAGCAATACTACACGCTTGTCAAAAGGTTAATAGCACAAGTTAGCAATATCTAAACTAAACATTGAAACATTTTCATGGGACACAGTGGTGCAAATTTTCCCATTGCTTGGTCTACCTGGTTGCATGTTTAAGAGTTTGAAGCTGTGGGAAGGTCTGACTGAGGCAAGCTGTGTCCCCAGTGCAAGTTTTCATTGAGGAAGTGAGAATCACCACTCATCTCTAGCGGGGAAGGAGAACTGTGGTTTGCTCTTAGCCAATCAAATTCTGCACAAATTGCTAAAAGCTCATTCGTTGAGGAGAGATTGGTGGTGGATTGAAAAGCTGAAATCTTTGCTGGTGTCTACTGGAGGTTATGAAATCTCAGAAACTAAAACAGCTAGAGTTAATGTTGTCCTACTCCCATTTCCCTCCCCATTCCCAAAGGATCAGTGTTTTTACACAGAAAAAGAATTTGTTCTTTGCTATCTTTTTCTTTTCTAAAGTACCAGTCTGGAACTCTTGATCTTGAACAATTCAATGTATTATCAACCTTTCTAAATGGAGACAAACCAACACAGTGAGGTCACCCAGTGACATGAAAGTCTGAGTACAAGGACAATGAATGGTAAGGGGTATACAGTGAATTCATCTTAACATTCACACTTGGTTTCCATACAATGGAGTCAATTAAAATGTCCTATAAAATAATTCAGATGGCAACCTTTAGCCATCCGTTGATTGCAAACCTTTTGGAAATTTAAATTTTTTACAAAATTCCCAGTCTACTGAGTGAACTTGGAAATAGTTTCATCCACTTGCTTCTCATAAGACTTTACTAAGTGTCTACAAATTAGTGTCATAAAAACGAATCAAAAAGACGAAAACATTTGGCTTAAAATAAATACTAAAAATGCAATAAATCAAGCAAATTATGCAAACCAAAGGAATGTAAACACAAAAATAAAACCACAGTCTTTAAAGGTCTTCGGATCTGAATGGACAAAATACTCAGAGAAAGGTATTTAATCGGTCTGAAAGGTAGCAGAGAGCAGATGTTGGCAAAGTTGTTTTGATTTAATGCAGCTTTAACGTTGTTTTCCCCCCACAGAAAATGAAACATGTTTCTAAGGGGGCTGAACTGAGATGATCACCAGATCTGAATACCAGAGAAGATAATTTTTCTTCCCCATATCCAAGGGTGGGACTGCCCACCCTGTGTGGAAGGCAGGCAGAAAAGCCACATGGCTGTTGAGGGTCAGCATGGGAGGCTTTTGCCTGTCAGCTTTAGGCCTCGTTCAGGCCCTCTGGGGGTCCTGATTACACTGCAGTCTGTCCTTCTACTTTCGAGAGACCCCACTGGTGTTTTGCTTTGCTTGCTTGCTTCAGCTATATCGATTTGAATTGCCCAACATTTCATAAACATTTATTTTTCCTTTACAAAACCTATAACTCCATCAAGGATCTTTATGAATCATATTGAAGTCAGCTAAGCTTAAAGAGTACTTCACATACTGACACATAGAATCTATTCTAAATTACAGAGCTCTGTGGTGTTTCTTAATTTCCTGTGTTTGAAAAAAAGGGCCATTTTAAGGGCAATAGATTAGACTAGTGATATATCACTCAAAGCTTTATCAGGATCCTGTAATATTCTCTGTATCCATAAGAATGTTGTGTCAATATATTCTGCTATTGAATGGATGCCAAAGATGACCAAAATGCCAGACTTTTCCAATGGTGACATCTTTACCACTACAAAGTGGCGAGATCAATTGAGATATTTTCAAAGACTGCTCCACATCAGCACCTTGACTTTGCTAGGAGGTGGCACAACCAATGATACTCCACAAAAAAAGATAATTTCCATGCTGGTGTATTTCAAAAAGGGTGTTATACGATTAGGAGGGCAGAGGACCATGGCTTTTTCCACTGCCTTGACCAATTTCCGTATTATCACTAAGGAAATCTAGGGGAAAAAAGGAAAATTAAAAATAGTTGTTGAAGAAAGGATATAGGGAGAGGCAGAAATATTTTTAAAACATATATTGACCTAAACACAAATGATATTATTTCTGGGGTTTCCCATAAGCCACAGAAATTGAATAGTCCTTATCCTGTTATCACAGGGACTTGATTAGCAGAATCACATGGCACAACAGAAAGGCAATGGCCTGGAGTAATCAGAGATTGAAATATAAAAAGGCTAAAATGTTTGTTTTAGATCTATTCCTAGAATAGAGAATTATATGGTCAGTTGCCCCTCCCCACAAGGGTCACTGCACAAAATACGTACTGAGCAGGCAATCCAACAGGTAACAGAGGAAACCATTAGCCACCAGGTCCCTAGGATAAGGAAACTTCTCAGGGGTGGAGCGCCTGTGGCATGCATCACTCATATAGTCTGTGCAAAAAAATAAAGTATGATTCTTAAAAAGTGACTTGCCATAGAAAAGTGGGATTTATGTTGACTACATGTGGGTCTGGCACTAGTTCCCATCAGGAGTACAAAACATCCTCCTGAAAGTTGGTGTAATAACAGTAACAATAATAATACAAATAATAACAATAATACTTGCTTTTTATTCAAAAATTTTCACAGTAATTAATGCAGGGGGGGTTGCGATCAGGATACACACTAGCTGGGCATCTTTCCAAGTCAGGCAGATTGGAGCCTGTGTCTCCAGTGATGTTTAGCTCGTTCCTTTTACAAGCTTTTGGAGGATTTGCTACCTTGCAGTCCACCTGTGTAGACTGCACCCAGTAAATACCTTTCTCTATGTACAATACAGAGATGATGGGTGGACACACGGCCTGATCTGGCCTCAGTGGGCAGGGCGGGCCTCATCCTAGGCCACGCGAACATGGGGCTCCTCTTCTGTCTCCTGGCCCAGGCTGGTGTAGGTGACTGAGGGCTCCACCTGACCTGTGGTCGATAAGTCCACGACGGGTCCTGAAGGATTGCGGAACTGCTTGTACACTCGGGGGTCCTGGGCTATGTAGGTGGAGGTGGAGGAGTAGAGCACCAGCCCAATGAGGATGGTGAAGAAAGACAGGAGATAAAGTCCTGAAAACTGAAAAACACAACAGCAAAGTCATCTGACAGCCTCGGTAGAACCACTGACATGTTAATGAGGCACAGAGAGACGAGGAAGGAGCTGCTTCCTCTTGGAACAGGCAGCTTGATGAGTTGGCCAGTTCTCGTGATGGAAAGTGAATTTTCTCTTCCTAAACTGGCTTGGTCTTATTGATTCCCATTATCTTTTTGCTAGACCCTGCGGCTAACACAGAGGAACACGTAGCCAATTGTCTCTAAAGTGCCAATCTGAGGACCTGGTGTGGTGGGAGAGCTAGTTAAGCACAAATTAAAACGCATCACGTTAAAAGCAAAAAATCTCCAATATCGCTCAATAAAGAGTCGGTTGTTTGTGGCTTCATTAAACCCAGAAGAAATATAGATATCCCATTTAGGGTGGTAATGAAGCCATAAACAACGAACCCCTCACTGACAGCTGCATCAGGACACTCTCGTTTCACCTTAATACAATTCAGACACTATTTTTCTTCCTCGTATGGATTGTTATTGACTTTGGTAACTATCTTTGCAAGATTAGATTATCCTTGGACAGAAAGAAATAGTATAACATTCCATTCCTGCCCCGTTAATCTATAAAGAAAACCAAACAGGGCTGTATATACAGCATTCTGCTCCCTAATCTACTTGCTTTCACAGAGTCTGTGGGGAGAGGGAGAGAAAATATCAGTTTACACAAGTCCCAAGAATGGACACATGTTTTTGGAAAATTATAACTTCTGGACCTTCCTGAGTGGTTACACTGGAAGTATTGTGTTGCCATTTCTATTGTTCCGTTCATTCATTCATCCCTTCTTCGTATGCCTTCTCTATATCAAAGACTGAACCATGTACTGGCAAAGAGAAATAAAAAATATGGGTGGTCCCTACCATCAAGGACTTAATTGTCTCAGTGGAGAAACAGAGGCACAGATAGACAGAAACAACACAATGGACTATGGCCTGCCAAGTCTCATGTCACTCCAGAGCTGTGTCTTAATCACGTCCTGCATCCATGAGAAAAAGGGGGTTGATTTTAATTTCCTCATTTATTTTTTATGTTCTTGCCTTGAAAGAACTAAAAACTGGTAGAAAGAGAAAAATTAATTGGAAGCTGGAAGAAAGGAGAAGAGGAAAATGACCCAGAGATTCTGTGACATAAGTTATAGGGCTAGAATAGAAAGCTAAAAAATGGCTATACTTTGTAGTTTAGTAATAGGAAAGGCAGTCTTGAAAATGGCTCATTAAAAACAAGTGTCCTGGGGCCAAAAGGCTCTGGTACAGTTTTCTTTCTTTCTTTTTGCAGCACAAAGTAATTAAGACTGAAGATGACTTTCTGATTTTCTTTCTGGAGCACTCTTCACCCTGTCTCTCAATCCCTTTATTTTTCACATTCATACCATATGATAATACCACCTCAGATGGATTTATGTACTAGACTCAGCTTGTAACTGCTTCACTTAATTAACTTGACATAATTAATTCAGTTTTCCCCAGTGAAAGCAAATGTGACTTATTGTTTGATTCATGAATTTGTAAAATAAAATGATAGGAAAAGAAGACCACTAACTCAGCACTGTTGTATATGATCTCAGAAAACCTATTTACACACAAAGTTGCTTCCCGAAATTCTACATTCAAGAGCTTCATCCTTTACCTGAAACTTGGGTGAATGAAATGGGTTTGTTCCTAACATTATAAGCATTTCAAACATTTCGTTAATTACCTTCACTTCCAAAACTCCAGTCATGCATCTCCAGTTTTAAGCAAAGAGCCTTCCATGGGCTTAGGTATGAATCTGCCTCTATTGCAGCAGATGGAGGTAGAGAGATTAACACATTGACTGTCACACTAGAAAAAAAAAATTTTCCTTGGAGCTACAGTGTTTTGTGATGAAAATAGAATAAAAACTTCAAAAATAAAACAATCCTTTCTAATTTAATGAAAAATTTATTTTTTATTGTTTTCTGTGTGTGAGTTATATGCAACTAGAAAAATAGTTCTCATGGCTTCCAAGGTGAAGAGATGTGAGAGTTACATATGCTTCACAAGGCCTGGGCTCAAAACTAGTGTGAGTTAAATACAACTTACATAGCAGTTAACGTGTTAAGAATGGCGGCTTTGCAGTTATCATTGCATTCTAACCACCAAACTGGCTTTAAATCCTAGTTCCACTACTTTCTAGTTGTAATTCTGTACAAGTTTCTTAACCTTTCCAGGTCCAAGCTTCCTTTTCAGTAAAGTGCATCTACCATACAGGGGTTAATAAGACTAAAGTAGATAAAGCAGGTAAAGCACTTATTATAGTTCCTATCTGGCAGCAACCATTCAACTCATATTAGCTTCATTGTTGTTATTGTTATTGTTTTTGTTATTACTACAGCACAATTTATAATTGTAATACTCCGATATCTTACAATGTTCTAACATTATCATTGATTAAATTATCTTTTCCCAATAGTCTTTTGACTGTGGGGCTGTGTCTTTTTTGACCAGTATCAAACACAGAGCCTGGCAGAGTATAGACATCTTCTAAGTATTACTTGCTATTTGTTTTTATGTTGGATAAATTAATTTTTCTCCTTCTACCAGTTTTTAGTTCTTTCAAGGCAAGAACATAAAAAATAAATGAGGAAATTAAAATCAATCCCCCTTTTCTCATGGATGTAGGACGTGATTAAGACACATTAATTATGGGGAAGTTTCAGGCTAATGAAAGAAACATAATGAAAAATCAGCCTGTACCAGTCGTGTATTTCAAATTTTTTAGCTTTAACCTAGATAATATTAATAAAATGTCATTTCAAGTACATAAAATGCTAAATATTGTTAAAAACCTGTTGAAAAGTAAGTCATAGTATCAATCTGTAATCATTGACTATAAAAGTCATCTTGAAACCTGGGGCCAGAAGAGGGTGAAGGATGATGAATTGGGAAAGACACTAAAGAAAGCAAGAATCTGTGTAAAAGACTTGGGACTGCTGACCAGTAGACTGGGGTAGGAGATTCCATAAACTTGGGGTGGACAGGATTTGGCCATTGAATAATTTAGGGGTAGGGACAGGAAAGGCTCTGATACAGGGTACCCAGGTAGAAGGATTAGGGAATCTAAATTCTTGAGAATCTCAATGTCTGATTTTAGATCCCATATCCTGACCTGGTCAATATGACAAAGAACATAATATTAAGTTTTGCAAAGCTAATGTCTTTGCCTTTGCAAGAAATAACATCTTAACATCCATTTAAAAGTATCATCCCTTTTTGCGACATGGACCCATCAGATAAATCCACTACAAATGTGTTTTTGTTTGGACTTAGCTTTAAAATGACAACACATACTTTATTTTCAATGCCTTTTTATTTAATTCATACAGAATTCAGTCAAAAATTATTCAAGAGATAGATAGCATGGAATTTTAATATGACAGAGGCATTCTGGAAGTCACCCAAGAGGCTTTATTAATAGTTGGTAGAGAAAGTTCTCATTTAATACACAAGCCCAAAAAGAAAGCAGTCAGGCAAGCATTATGATTAATTGGGATAAATATTAAATGCTATAAATAGTGACAGAAAGGTTTGATTTTTTTAAAAAAAGTAAGAAAAAGTTTCATTTTTCTCCTTTCTAGCTTAATTGAAAAAAAGAAAATTTAATCAGGGGTACCTAACAGAATGACCCCAGTTCTGGATGCTTCACTTATCTTGTCGAGCATTCATTTAATAAACCAATCAATGAAACAAAAATTTTGTTCGGTCTAGGCTGTTTAACTTACTAACTGCAAAGAAATAGTTATTTCTAGTTCCCCAAGCAAAGAGAACAGGAACTTCTCTGGAACGCGGTGATGACTGAAGCTGTGTCTGAGTTACAGATAAGCCAAGTGTAGGCAGAGGCTTGCTGTTTCCATCCAAGGGCAGGGGCTGCTATCTGAAGTGGACTTTGCTGTCTTCCGCTTTGCCAACTGTAGCCCATCAGAGTATGCTGCATGGTCCATGCTGCGGACACACGTTTTGTGCATTTAACTAACTGGTAGCTTCGAGAAGCTGAGAAAGGATGCACCCTGTATTAACACTGCCACACTGCAAGACACTGTACTTTGCCACTGTCTTTTTCCATCTTGATGGGTCTCTTTGAAAACAACGGTCAGAAGGCACTCACTGCACAGGATGAGAATCCCTGAGTGTTGCTCAGAATAATCTGACCAAGACACAAGCCATGGTACAGAATGAGGTGGCTTGGAAGACTGGTAACAAGCCTGTACAACCAGGGGTTAACTTCCATCCAGGGGTTAAACCTACCTCTTAGACAGTTGGCCTATCAGTATGATTGCTGTTTGATTAATGTGGCATTCAGCACATCGGTCAAGGTCAAACCAAATTTACATATTGTTTTTGTGATTTAAACATCTAAGTTGAATTTTAATAAACTAATGACTTCAGTGGGCCTAAACCTATACGAGTAGAAAACCATACGATTTGAAACTCATTTGAAAGTACATTTATAAATATATCAACTAGACGATGTCAAGAAGAGGGCAATTTTTCAAGGGCAGCTTTTTCTAGCTTGACTCAAACAATGGCAGATGTCAGGAGAGGAGAGCATGGGAAGTCCTTGGAGGGGTGCAAAGCAGACCACAAGTGACGCTGGCTGAAGCTCTACTTTAACTGAATGCACGTACCAACTACTTCTGTGTAATGGGCCTAGTGTTTTCCTTCCTTCCCGGGAAGTGTACCTTAAAACAGTCCCTTTATGGCAACTGCTTTTGTGTAATACAGCTTTTGTAAGGTTCCTTATGTTAGATTTTGGTCATTTTTTGCTATACGTCTCCACTTGTGCTTACTAATGATGAGAACTAGTTGTTGATTTAATGGATAACGGAAACTTGTAAGATTTTTTTTAGCTCTTAAAGACAAATGTGTGACAGTTTATCTAAAAAAAGATTCAATGGAAAAAAGAAACTATGTTACTCATGAAAGGCAGAGAAAAAACTGGAAAGGAGTGGTTGG